GGCGGGTCCGGCCCGCCGGCACTGGCCGAGGTCACGGGGAGTGCGCGGGGCCGGAAGGCGCACAATGAGCGGGGCCTTATCTCGCCCCGCAGCCCTTCCCCTGGCCGAGCCACAAGCGAGGCCACGGCTGGGTCCCCCCCGGGACGGGGCAGGCGGGGGGCAGCGAGGCCACGTGCCCCGACACGGAGCGAGGCTGGGGAAGGAGCAGACCTTCCCGGCAATGAGGCTTCAGTAACTTTAATTAAAAATAATAAAAAGGAAAATAAATACAAAAAAACCTTAAAAGCACAGCCCTGGGGGTGAAGGGACAGGGGGACCCAGGCTGTGCTGCTGCGTCGTCCCCGATTGTGGCCCCACCAGGACAGGGACACCGTGGGGCTGAGCCCTTCCCTGTCCCCGCAGCCCCCGGGGGGTGGCAGAGGCCATAGCACCATAGGGACGGGCACGGGGGATAGCGGGGACCCCATCCTCAGCCCCAGCTGGCAACACCCAGCCTCGGGGCTCCTCCAGCCCCAGGGGCATGGACGAAGCCCCCGGGCACCGCTGGGTTATTTTACCCCCTTGGCTCCAGGGCTGCCAAGGGTGAGGGAAGGTGGGGAGCAGATATGGGGGTGCAGGAGCCCCGGGGGTCCCACTGCAGCGCTCCCCCAGCCCCGTGCACGTGGGCACCAGCACCGGGCGGTGGGACGAGGGTGGTGAAGCTGCCAGCGCCGGCCGGGGCGGGGGGCAGCCGCGGGCGACCCCCCGGCCGCTGCCGAAGCCCAGCCGAGCCCGGGGCGGGGGGATTAGCGGGTAAATCCCACGGGACGTGGGAGGGGCCGCCGGGGCACCCCCAGCCGCACGCCCGTGCACGCACCACCGCACCCAGCCGCCGCGTCAGCACAGTGGGGACACACGGCCCCCCGGGGAGGGGGACCCAGAGGACAGTCCCATCCCCCTGCCCGGCGACACGGAGCGGCGTGGGGGTCCCACCCCACGGGTACCCCCAGGAGGGGACGGAGGGGCTGCGGTGCTGGGCAGGGCCGTCGTGGGGACAAGGACATCTGCGGGGCTGGGGGGCCCCAGGGCGAGGGGGCCCGCGGGCAGCGGGGCGCTCACTTGTGGGGCATGTCCTCCATGCTGACGCGGCCCCAGACGCCCACCACGAAGGTCTCCACCTCGCACTCGTTGACGCCGCGGGCGATGCGGAAATGGCCGCCCTCGCCCCACGCTGTGCCCCAGGAGTTGGCCGCAGTCTGCGGAGGGAACACGGGACACGGCTCAGCGCTGGGCGGCCCAGCTGAACGCCCCCCCCATCCCCGAGCTGGATCCCACCCGGGCATGGGAAAGCAGCACTTGCACCTGCCCACCCCAGCGACTGAGCCCCAACAAACTCATGACACCCACCAACACTCACCCAGTATTTTTGGGTCTGGCCATCAGGCAGCTGCTCTTCTCCCCACCTGCATTGGAAGGGCAAGGGCAGTGAGTGGGGGTCCCGGGGTACCCCCTTGGGCTGCACCCCATACTGCGGCATCACCCTGCCCGGCACCGCGATAGCGGGGTGCTGGGTTGACCCCGCTCGTTTCCTGGTCCCGGCACCTCCCCAAGGGCCAGGCCGAGGTGTTTACATCCACTCCCAAAATACAGGCAGGTATATTTAGCTGTGGGGAGGAGGAAGGAAGCTGCTGGCACAGGGCAGCCGGCCCTGCTCCCCTCCTCGGGCTCTGCACCTCCAACCTGCCTCCCTCCATCGGGGGGGCTGAGCACCGCGCACT